TACAATATGTATTGTGATTCACAGCCAACAGTATGATCCATTAAAAATACCTGATATGATACATATCGTGATACACAAAAACAACGATTCATTAAAAATAGTCCATACAATACGTATTGTGATTCACAGCCAGCAATACAATTAGTCACAAATACCTGATACAATACGTATTGTGATATGTAGCTGATACGTTATCCGATATGATGCTCAATGAGATGATGTGATTCAGCCTTTATTCACGTTATGATGGGATTCAATATGAGCTTGGTTCAACACATGGAGTTTCAATGCAGCAAAAGCAAAGGAATTGTCGGATGTTAGTTGCATTCATAGCTTCTCTAAGTTTACAATTTCACTGTGTATGTTCATGAATCAGCACAAATCGTTGATTTTCACCTCCCTAAAGGATGCTACGTTAGGTAATATTAACCATCTGTACGTTTCCAAGACATCTTTTGTTCACAGTGTCGCTGTATTCTCCACCGAATAACATCTACGTGTTTACGCCAATGTGTGCGTTTCTTGGAGCGGTGTGGCTGAGTGGTTAGAGCAGTCGTCCTACAATGGGAGTGTTGGGGGGTTCAATTCCACCAGCAGCCACATGCTGAAGTGTCCCTGGGCAAGACACTGAACCTCTCATTGCCTCCAATGTGTGTCCCATCAGTGTATGAATGTGATAAAGCTCTGATTATTCTATGTATAGATCTAGTAGAGTGCTGTATGAATGGGTAATTGAGGGCACAAATTGTTGCAAAGCGCTTTGAGTATCTTGACAACATACTGATAAGATAAAAGGATGTTATATAAGTACAGTCCATTTACCATTCTTTGAAATCTCCCCACTGGTTCATGAACTATTTTGCCAACGTTACATACTAGCAATTGCATAGACGGGGATGGACAATAATATTATTATTGTGAGAGCTGTTGCAGGTAAACTCGGGAACACGACCAGAACCAAGGCCCATGACTTATATGCCTTGTCTTGATCCAGTTGCCTGACATGGACTCTGAACCGAGGTGAACCTGCACCGTTTACTCCCCAAGAGCCAGCTGGTTAGTCCCGCTGCCTGACGAGCAGACGGAGGGCCAATTAGCTGATGGGTGCCACGGAAAGGCCAACGAGTACAGAGGCAGGGCGCTACATTATGGATGAGCTCGGGCTCAGGGAGCCCGGTCGGCATGGCAACGCTCGGGCAGAGTGCGTTGGCCGCTGGTGTTGACGTTTGGGGTTGGACCAGCTGATAAGAGCTCGGGGTGCTCTCGGGTTACGGGGATGGCGAGTTCAGTTCTGCTGAGAGCCACGTGCGCATTAATAGTTCACGCTGAAACACGAGTTCGTCTTCAATACGAGAGGTGAGAGGAGACGCAACACGACACCATGGGTGCTCTGCGAGGTCTGAAACCTTCTGCAGTTAAGATCAAACCAAAGTGTACAAATGACAAGTCCAGGAGGGTCCAGAGTCGGGGCTTAGTGTCTGTAAAGCTGACTGAATTAGAGCACTTTGTCTGTTGGCCAAAGTTAAAGAGCTGTGGCAGCCATCTTGGATTTGGCTACATTTCCTTCAAAGTGTCAAAATTCAGATTTTTCTGACACATATACAGGAAATATGTAAGAAAATAAACTAAGCGATCCTTTAAGTGTAGCTAAGAGGTGGGAGATTTTAAAGCATTATTTTTTTTTTTGCAAAGTGACGAGGGGAACTGGAAATACTCTACGTCCATCCATTTGTCTTTCCGTCCGTGCATTTTGTGAGCTCGTTAACTTGAAACATAATAGAGGCACTGACTTTGATTTTGGTGTGTGGCTACATCTACGTGTAAGAAAGATCACCATTTGAAATCTTGCACCGAAAACATTAAGATCTACTTACATCCTCTGTTCAATTCCAGTCCAGGTAAATCTAGAAAACCAACAAATGTTCACTATTTGAATCCCTCAGGGACGGGGGACACTGGCATACCTCTTGTTTTTCTGTAATGTGGTAAAGGTAAGAAAGGAAACTCCAGACAGAAGCAAGGAAAGTGTGATCTGAATCCAGGTTATTTTCCCATTTGAAGTGCGAGAAGAATCCACTTCAAAGCGAAGTGACATTAAGTGTGGAGAAGCCCCCCCCCCAAAAAAATAGGCCCCGACGTGTCTCAGCAGTTTCAGCCCCCATCAGGGCAACACTGGTGGACTCTTTATCTCTCTGCTTCAGAAGTGCCTCAATTTCTGCCGACATTTAACCTCATTACAGCCCCGCTGGACAAGAAACACTCAGAAGAAGTCCAGGTCTTAATTTTAGAAGAACAGCAGTGCTTTTACAGACGCTTCACATTTTTATTCTCATCTTTTCTCTTGCTCCCCGGCCCCATCCAGGAAGGTTTTTTTGGGTCATTTTGAGTAAAGGAGGCTGTCAAGGGGGAAAGCCTTGGAGCCTTCCGCTCACAGGAACCCTTACATCGGCAGGACGCCGGAGAGCGTAGATCACGGTGGTGAAAGAGTGAATTTATGAGAGGTGGGCAGCAGGAAACGGGTGATCAATAGAAGAAAGAAACGCACTTGTTCAGCAAAGCTCATGTCAAGGAGCTGCTGCTTTACGGAGATAAAAAGCAGATTAACGGTACATCGGGGGACAATTTCAAAGAAAATGAACGTTCTTTTGTACTAGACTAAGACGACCGGTACGGAGTAAATGAAAACAATGATGTGCAAATTTCATAAATCCGAATTTGTCACACAAAGCTTTTTAATAAAAAAATCCGTAAACAAGTTCTCTGCTTTTTTTTTTTTTTTTTGCAGAGGAAAAACAACTCTTTACACGAATGCACGGGTTTCAACCGTGAATTTTGGAGCTTCGACAAGACGGAGGTTTATTCCCGTCGTCGGCCTGTTAGCTTAGCTCGTAGCTTAGCTTCTCAGCCGCTTTTAATGATCCAAAAACGCGATTTACGGATCATTAAAATGGATTTTTTAAGTGAAAAAGAAAGGGAGGGGGCAGTGAAGAGCACCGGAGTTGAACCTTTTGTCGTCCGTTGTCTAGTAGGAAGAGAGAGACACGAAGAAACGATGAAGCCGATAAATGAAAATGAGGTCGATAATTTTCATTGATCGTGCGATTAATTGATTTATTGTTTATCGCGACAGACCTATGCATAATAACACGAGACGCGTTACGGTATTCAAACGTGAACCAACATGAAGAACAAGAATAAACAGAAGTTTCTGACTAAAAATGGACCAGACGACGGTTTTTATAGAACCACAAAGCACGGCAGTAGATCAATTATGGTTCGGGCTATTAGGAGGCTAAACTGTATAATACTGCATTAAATAACGTCATTACTCTGTTTAGTGAAGTACAACGCAACCTTAATTTAACAAACATGCTTAGTTTATTGTTAAAACGTGCGCAGCAGCTGCTCCTGCAACGAGCGTCCAAAGAGGTGATCGTTGTGTTCTGACGTGAAGCTACGCTCAGATTTCTTCCACTAACGGTTTTCCCCCGCTCTCCGTTCTGGGCGCTCGCCCTCACGCAGCGCTCCTCTCCCCGTTTAGTGAGTTTCATTGTCGGTGTGCACGCTCTCCTGAACGGCACGACGGAAGCGTTTCATCAGCGTTGCGTACGAGGACACCATTTAGGTTTGGCAGCGCCGAGCGAGGGAGGAAATCACTTTGGGTTCTCGGAGGTTTCCTGCTGGTGTTCTTTCACTTTTCTGCGCTGCAGAACAAAGTTACTGGAATTGTTTAGTTAAACGCAGATGTCTGTCCAACATATTTTCAGTTTATGTTCTTTGGGATGTCCATTCCATCCCCGTTCTCCTTTTGGCGTCTTTGTGATAACGTGCAGGCCTTCAAATCAAAGTGTGTGTGGGAAAAGTAGAGCACCCACCCCTACCTCCAACCCCATTTTGCTAATGTCATACATATTAGCTCTGGAGCTAACTACAAAAGGTTAAATCGTTTCTGGACCAGTTTCTTTAAGGGAGAAATGTTTCATCTTTCATCCGAAAGACTTCGTCAGTCCGCGGCCTGCCAACCCAGATAAGTATCCCTCGTTGTGTTTCAAGCCAACCTCCTGTTGAATACCCAGAGACAGGCTTTTAACACATGCTAACAGGGCCCATCCGTCCAAAACAAATCAGGCCTCATGTACAACAACCAAATGTAGGCCAGGTGACCATGTTGCTACTCAGAGACAGCCTGAGGACACCAAGGCCAAAATGGTTCAGAGTGCCCAAAACATCAACGACGGCTACTTATGGGTCAGATCTAGTTGGCAGGCCGCAGACTGACGACGTTTTTTGGATGTAAAGACGAGGCCAGATGACGATTTAACCTTTTTTGTTTTTAATCTACCTGGTTGATTGAGCTTACGAAGCTTTTTTTCTCTGGAGCAAACATCATATATATTAGCTCAGGAGAAAACATTATATATACCGGTATACATATTAGTTCTGGAGCTAACGTCAAAAATTCAGCTTCATTTTACCTTTTTTAACTTGTGTTTATTATATATACAGTATATGTATATATTTATACTCTTTTGTATTTATTTATTTGTTAATTTGGCTTCTTGATCTGGAACCTGAGTCCGAATTTCGAACCATAAACATCCAAATGTGAGCTGGGTGACAATAAAAAGTCCTTGGAGCGTTAGCTCTGTCAACGCTCGGGTTCAAATTAAACGGCTGAACGTCAAATAATGTCCAAAGTTAACATTCAAGCTGAATGGGGCTCGCACCGGAACGACCTAACTGTCATTTACCCAGAATGCATTGCAGCATAAATCAAATTGTGACATCCATGTGTCAATGCTTTTAAAAGAATTATAAAAACTAAACAACCTACAGTATTTTACAGCCTCATTTTTATAACTGAAGTAACTGTTGATCAGATAAGGTCCGTTGTTCCAACTAGTTGGGGATCCCTTTAGCATTATTAGCATAATGTCCAGGTTTATCCAGTGCTCGCAGGGCTTCATCTAATGTTTTCCTTTCTCCTTCGCCATCTTTAGACGTGGCTCCAGAGGTATGGCTACCTCCCTCCTGCAGACCCCAGAATGTCAGTGCTGCGTTCTGCCAGAGTCGTGCAGTCTGCTATCGCTGCCATGCAGCGCCGCTACGGCCTCAACATCACGGGGAGTCTGGACACCAGCACTGTAGAGTAAGTCACGCGCCTGGAGACGCGTCTTGAACGAAAGCACGTTAAATTCAAAACATTCAGAGGTTTTTAGAATTGTTGTCGCCTTTATTTTATGTTCCGTGTTTTTCGGATCATAAGGCTCGCTGTCGATTTTTTTTTGAGAACGTTAAAGGATTTTAAATGCGCCTTGTAGTCTGAAAAATACGCTACAGTCCGAGTTCAATCCAGACTTCAAGCATCGCTAAAAGTTTTTAGAGACGTGAGCAGCCGAGGAGGTAAAACACGTCCCAGTTGTTGGAGCCATTTCTTTTGAGCGAGATCACAGAGTTCACAGAAACGATGCGTCACCCGCTCGGCGCGTGTTTTGCATTCTGAAGGCACGGAAAGAAAGATTTAACAAGACATAAAGTTGTCCCGACAAAGATTAAGTGGGGTTTTTTAATTTGATCAAAGTCTTTTTGCAGACATTAAATCTCTGTCAGATCAAAGGAGGAACAAGGAAGACGACCTCGGTGGTCATTCCACTCGTCCTCACAGGGAGGAAACCGGTGCCAGCTCCTATTAATCATTAAGAAGTATTTTAAAGCACGCATCGGCCGTAATGAGAACAGCTCTATAACCCAAAGCAGACATTTGATCTTTCACCTGCCGAGCGTTAAAACAGCTCACCGAATTTAGTGACATAACATCTGTGCTACAAATAGTAAAAGAGCTCAAAGCGGCCACTACGATGTGGTTTCCAGCAAACTTAACAGCTGTCCAGCTGCTGGGCTGAATTTGAGTAAAGCTGGAGGAGCTGCTTTCCCTGTTCGCTGATTGCTGAAGGATTTTTTGCTGAAAGCTGCTGAAGATGCTAAAACCAGCTGAAAGGGCTTCGTCTCTAAACTTGACGCGGTTTGAATTTGAACAATGGACATTTGCTGAAAGCTGGAAAATGAAAACACAAAGCAGAAGGAAAACAGCCGAAATGAGCAGAATAGGCTGAAATAGACAGAGGATGAATAAACAAGCTAAAGCTGAGCTGAAGTTGGCGTAAAGAGGCTAAAAGAAACGAAGTCGAAACGATTTGAACGAATCATAAATGGTAGAAATTAAAAAAAAAAAGCATATAAAGCTGATAAATCAGAAAAATATGAAATTTGCAAAAAATAAACTGAACTGAGCAGAAAAGCTTAAGTTAACAAAAAAAGTACTGTATTTTCCGCTGTACATGTCGCACCGTCGCATCAGTCGCATCAGTCCAATTATGTCTAATAACGTGGGGAGAAAAAAAAGTCGCTTCGCCGTATAAGTCGCATCTATTATGCGTCACCGCTGACCGCCTGGAAACTTGGGACGGTGTTGTGCCAAATATCGATTGGCTGCCAAATGACGGCCGTGGGAGCGTGCACGGGAGGACTTTAACAAGAATTTAACAAAATTAAACACTTAAAAATAATTATTTGTTTGCTCGACATTATAGTAAAGGTGAGTCTCAGTTGAACTTTTCCTTAATAAATGCACTTTGACGGTCAAATCAGCTGCATTTCGCCTGGGCGGCGCCGTGAACTGCAGCTGATTTGACGTTTGCTCCAGGAGTTCTGGAGCGAGACGAAGGTGGCCTGTATGGCAAGCCAAGTGTCTCATTAATAGCCACTTTTACCTATTAATGAGACACTTGGCTTGCCATAAGGCCCGAGGGCCCTCTAGTGGCTGAAAATGGTAGTGTTCAATGCATTCTCAATAATCCAGGTAGAAAAATCCAAAAAAGTTAAATCTCGTCCTCTGGACATTAAAAAAAAAAACAACCAAACAAAAAAATGTTGTGTTCAATATTTTCCGTGCTAGAGTGAATAAAATTGGGTTATAAATATGGGGAAAAATGTATATTAGTTGCGTTGGTGTATAAGACACAGGACTTGCAAACTTATGCAAAAAGGTGTGACTTATATAGCGAAAAATACGGTAGCTAAAAAAGCTGAAATTAGTAGAAACAGGCTGAAATGGGCATAAAAAGTTGATTTAAAAAAAATAAAATCACGAAAAATGGAAATTAGAAAATAAAACAACAGAAAAAGGTAAAATTAGCAGAAAAATACTTTAAAAATGTTGAAAAATAAGCTGAACCAAAACAAAAGCTGAAATGAGCTGTAAAGGTTTTAAACAGCTGAAGGGTTTGGACGTGAAGAGAGCTCCATTCATTTTCAATGAAAACAACATGGCCGACAAAGCTAAATATTTGAGCTGAACGTTTTGATACATGAATTGTGGAAATGGCACAAAAATTGTGGAACGAGTTTCGTGCTGAAAAACGTACGGAAGAAAACGCACCGACAACGAGGACGATTTATCGACATTGACACGTTTAACTCTAACAGTGTTTCTTTTCCTTTCTGCTTCTCTGGCCTGGTGTAGTGACACCACCATAAGGTGAGGCGCTCCCTGTGTGTGCAACGTTTTAGTCACTCTTTGGTGCGCGGTGATTAAGATCTGCCTCGTTCTTGGGTCAGTGTTGACCTTTGACCTTTCACGTGCAGGTGGATGAAGAAGCCCAGGTGCGGGGTTCCTGACGAGTTAGGAGGAGCGTCTAAATTCAGCGTCAGGAAAAGACGCTTCGCCCTCACAGGCCAGAAGTGGCAACATAAACATATCACATACAGGTGGGTGACGGTTCATGGCATTTGTTATGGTGCAACTGGAGGTCTGTGGAAAGGTTACTATCTTACCTGTCATAGATGACTTCTTTTGCCTCTTCAATTTGGAGAAACTTTGTTTATATCTGACAAAATTGGTCATTTGAATGCATTCATGAACAAAGGGAATTACTGGATTCCACGTTTTTAAAGTTTTTAAACTGCAGGGAGTTGTTTGGTTTTTGTGATTAAACTTACATGCAGATCAGTCTCCCTCCCCTCCCTCCTGTGGGTCATTAGTGTCTTTGATGACCTCGTCTACAAAAGTCATTTTGGGTTGGGGTCATTTTTGTGTTTTTTTGGGGGGGGTGGGGAATGCGCCAAAATATTTTATTGTTTAGCTTGTGTCCACACAGAAACTGGTTTGGGAGACTGAACCCATGACCCAAAGGCGTCCCCTTCTTCATGGACCCAGTGTACGTGCCTTGTTTCCTGTTTCTGGTTTATTGTTGTGGCATTGTTTCAGCGCCACCTACAGGCATGGAATTGTTTCTACAGCTTTTTGAGTTGTTTTTACATTTCCTTCTGGATGAAGGCATTTCTGTAAAGGATGTTAACAAAGGTTTTTTTAATCCATCCATCCATCTATCCATCCAGCCACCTACCTACCTACCTACCTACCTACCTACGTACTTACTTACTTTACTTTTCTTACTTTACATACTTACTTTTCTTACTTTACATACTTTACTTGCTATATTTACTTACTTTATGTACTTTACTTACTTACTTTTCTTACTTTACATACTTTACTTATTTTACTTTACTTTACCTACTTTACTTACTTTTCTTACTTTGCTTACTTACTTTAAATACTTTACTTATTTACTTAATTACTTTATTTACTTTACATACTTTACTTACTTCACATACATACTTTTCTTACTTTACATACTTTACTTCCTTTACTTACTTAATTTACACACTTTACATACATTACTTACTTGCTTTACTTACTTACTTTTTTACTTTACATACTTTGCTTACTTTACCTAATTAATTTACTTACTTTACATACTT